CTGGCCTTTGCGCTGGTGTCGGTGCCGCTGCTGCAGTTGCCGGACGACAGCCCGGGCGACGACAGCGGCCAGCCGCAGTCCATGCAGCCGGCGCAGCCCAAAGGCCAGAGCCAGGGCCAGCCCAAGTCCGTGCCCAAGGTGATGCCGGGCGGCGCGGTCGTCATTGCCGCGGACCCGGCGGATGCGGCCTTGCGCCTGCAACTGCTGCTGTCGGCCCAGGGCATCTCGTCGGCCCTGCAACCCGATGGCGCTGGCTGGCGCCTGACGGCCGAACTGCCGGAAGCCGCACGCAGCGCGCTGGAAGCCGAACTGCAGGCCCGCAGCGTGGCCTGGCCGGTGGATGGGCGGCTGAATCTGAAGTTCGCCAAACAGCTGTGAACGCGCCGGGGAGGGCGCAGGGATGAACAAGAACAGACTCGTCGCGTCCTGGCTGCTCGCCTCTGCCGCAGCGCTGGCCGCGCCCGCGTGGGCCGAGAACCATGCGCTGATCATGACCATCGACTACGCCGGCACGAAGAGTGAGCTCTTCCCCGCCGCCATCGAGGCCGATGGCCGCATGGCGACGCAGATCGCCGAGGGCATGGGCGTGCCGCGCCAGAACATCCGCTGGCTGCGCAACCAGCAGCTCACCGCCAAGGGCATGACCGACGCGCTGGTGGACCTGGCCCGCAACCGCGTGCGCGAGGGCGACAGGGTCTTCCTGTTCTACGCTGGCCACGGCGCGCAGGTGCGTGGCCCGGCCAGCGGCTCCAAATGCCATGAAGGCATGGTCACGGCCGATGAAGACTTGTTCTTCGACGTCGACCTGGAGCAGGTGCTGCAGATGCTGTCGGCGAAGGCCAGCCAGGTCGTCATGCTGAACAACTCCTGCTTCTCGGGCGGCCAGGCCACCAAGGCGCTGATGTCGCCGCGGGCGGATGGCGCGCTGCCCATGTTCACCCGCGTCAGCAAGGCCGGCTCGTCCGCCGACGCGGACTACCAGTGCGGCAACGCCGTCAACAGCCGGTCGCTGGGCAAGAGCCTGGGTGTGGTGGAGTCCGCCAAGTCCACGCGCATGCTCTACGTGGCCAGCGCGGCGGACAACGAAGTGGCCTGGCTCACCCGTCAGGGCGGCGCGGCGACGCTGGCCTGGGCCCGCTGCATGAAGGACGGCGCCGCCGACCGCGACCGCAACGGCATCATCGACGGCGAGGAACTGCGCCAGTG